AGGTTAAAAAAAAACACAGAAACCTGTTGCTTTTGTGTTGTTGGTTTTTGCTCTACACAGTAAAGCAAGACAAAACAGAATCGCTTTGGTAAAAAGTAAACATTTAACCGCTTCCACCTGTTAGGAGATTAAATCCAAAAATGAAATTAAACTCCTTTGAAATGACTGTTTGATGCATGCTTTGTACCTGTAAAATCTCCAAAGAATCTTCTACAAACAAGACTTAGAAGAGGCCTGATGTTCATCTGCATCTCAGCCTTGGAAAGGTGGATACCTAAAAGAACAGACAGAAGAAAACAAAATTCAACCTGGTTAACTATATATGACAAATAAAAAAATGTGCACCACATAATTTTAAAAAAAATCTGAATCTGGAATCATAAATATCAGTGGATGGAAACTGCAGTCATGTTTAATAGCCCTTGTGCATGATGACATCAGACTGGCAAAAATCACCACCAAGCCTCTGTTTGAGAATGCAAATTGTAAATTTTTTCATGAACTAATTCCCAAAGTAGCAAAAATGAAAAGAACACCCACGCAAAAGCAACACTAAAGTGCCAGAGGTTTGAGAACATTTCGCGTGAAGGAGGCTTGTAGTGGTGAATATTGGGCATGTGAAATAATCATACCTAAGACCTACTAATTCAATTCTTCAACTTGTACACAAAGATTTACTTTGACTGTATGTGGTAAAACCTTACAGAAAATAACATTGTGGCAGAACTCAAGATCTATTCAAGTGTGCTGTACAGGTGCATGTACTAGCATCTGTAAGCTTGTAGAGTTAGACAAGTACCTAGGAAACTGAATGAGCACGTATCTCAAAGTGATCATATGCAAAATAGTTATGTGAAAAATAAAACTTTGTTACAATACACACCCAGTTCATCTAGAAGTTTTGGAAGACTGCTGTCTGCATCACCTACCACCTGAAATTAATAAAAATCACTTCATGAGCAAGAACCACAAAGTCATAACAACCATGATGGCTTCCCTTGATACCATTCCACTGACTGTATTATGAACATCTGAATGTACCACATTATGCCACCACATTTACTTAATACACAAGGACATGTAACACACCTGAGCTGAGCGTACTGACATTAATTTTTTTGTAGATGCACAGCTGGAAATTATAGAGCTCATATGTTCCGGGTGCTATGTTGCCAACACAATCACCGCCCCTTCTCAGATGTAAATATTTCCTGCCCTATAAAGATTGCACAAAACACATTACCTGTGCAAAGACCTTGTACAAAGGTTCCAAGATAAATTCTACAAAGCTTCTCTGAGAAGTACTTAGGGGTGCTTTCTTAGAAAACTTGCGTCTGCCAGAAAGATAAAGAGTGTTACACTCCATTTCCAAAAAACTAATAAACAGAGCAAATAACAATAATAACAATAACAATAACAATAACAATAACAATAACAATAATAAATAAACATAATTTATGTAGGATGACCATTTCAGTTATAAAAATGCTATCAACATGGGTCCTGTGTAAAATAAATAAATGATGATGATAATAATAATAATAATAATAATAAATAAACATATTTATGTAGGATGACCATTTCAGTTATAAAAACTGCTATCAACATGGGTCCTGTGTAAAATAAATAAATGAATAATTAGTAAAATAAAATATAAAATATGCAAAAATCTAAAAAGCTATATAAGAAATCTAAAAATACACATATAAAAAGAGATAAAAAGACTGGAACCAGATTCATATACAATTAATAAATCTTAAGTCTTCATTTTTGGTTTTACTCTAACAAAAACAATTTTAGTAATTTCTAACTCTGGAGTGAATTAAAAGTTTTTGATGACAGTAATTTCTTTTCAATGATCAAGCTTCTTCAGTACCAGCCAACAAAAATAATGTATGATAATTATCGTCACTATATTAACTGCTAACCTGGCTGGACATAGGCAACCTAAAAAACTGCACCGTCCATTGCATTTACTTACGATTTGGAATTAAAGTACATATCGCCCCACAGGCGTTTGGCGAAGTCTTTTGGATCAATACCTCCACCTTAAGAATGAAAACATTTCATTAAAATTAAGTTTGGATTACATGTACATGTAATGCAGTTTTTTGTTAGATCTCTGTTTCATAATGTCTTGGAAGAAAAAACTCACACAAGCTGAGACACAACTCACCAAAACTGTCGACATACAGAGAGGCAAAAGAATAAAGCGTGAAGCAGAATCTGTACTCAGAGCTTGCAAAACAGACATTCCCAAGATAAGGTGACATGACATAATCATCAGCTCCATCAGAGTAGACACTGAAAGAAACGTGATATATCCAACATTATTAAAAACTGAATGTATACTCGTATACTTAATTGGCCACTCCCAATTAGGGCTGGGAATCATTGGATAATACAATCGAGAGTTTTCATCAGTTTAGGCATCATGAGCCATTATACAATGCTCTACAACTATGGCAAGCATATGCCTGAATTTTTGTGGCCCAAAAAAGTTTGGAGAATTTACATGTTAAGATTAAGAGGAGAGGGTTCAGCAATGTCAATGTACCTTAAAAGTCCGTTGACTTCATCCACAATGTGTTTCAGTTTGTAGTAGGCATCTGTAGGAGGAAGCTTCAACTCCAGAATCAATCTGTCAATCTGGTGAAAAATGGGAAATTGTGTAGTTCCAGAAAATATCCATACCTCCCCAACAGAAGAGATTTTTTCCAAGACCTCCCCACCCCTCTGGAATTTCCAATTAAACTTGATACATTTCTTTACATTTTTGATCTTAGAGAACCCCACACCTCCCAGGAAATTCCGATCCCTTCTGTTGGGGGAGTATGGATATTTTCTGGTACTGAACATTACAAATTCATTATCATCCTAAAACCCACCCTCAAATTAAAGGAATCAGATCAAAAAAGAAGGTATTTGACAGTTTCCTTGAGTGTGCAACACCAAAACTCATAAGATTTCAATAATGGTATTTAATGACAATGATGATGATGTTGCTAGCAACAACCTCAATAATAGAAATGAGGATCAGAAGATGACAGCAATTGTGACAATAAAGAGCGTCTATTTTACTGAGATATATATGCACGTAAGAAAGACGAAAGAACTGGTGAACACAGCCACTGTAACCAGCTGTGGGTGAATTGATCTTTCAAAGTACAGTACGCTGCGAGTTACACCAGATCTTACCTTGTTTATACAAATAGTTACTGCAAGTCTTTCTTGAACAGCATGTTTAAGAAGTCGCTCTGTGTTCAACATCACCTGAGAAATAGAAATGATAAACGAATGCATGAGTGAGTATTTCAGTAGATAAAAGCTCTTGACCTGCCTGCATTACAACAATGTATGCAATCATGTGAATGCTACATGAACATCCACTTCTCTCTGCAATCAACCTAATTTACTTTGAATTCCAGTATAACAAAAATTTAAAAGAGACACAAAAGTCACTTACTCCTTCTGATGCATCAATAAAAATCATAACTCCATCACACAGTCTCAATGCCGCCGTGACCTCATCAGAGAAGTTTACATGCCCTGCAGAAATGCAAATTTCAAAGGAACAAAGGGAAGAAAAGGCTTAATCAATACAAATTGAACGTTTTTAGTTAAGGCACATGGGACAACTGTAATTGATTCAAAATTCCAAACACCATCACAGACTTTTCACATGTGAAATCAAGTTTAATTCTTTATCTCACAGGGCTTGACTCTCAGGAAAAAACCTTGGGGCCAGCTTTTCAGATTTAGTTACCAACAAAAGTATTTCAGTGAAAAGCGTGAAAAGTTAGTTGCCAGTGAAAAAAATTTGGTCGCGTTGGCAACCCCAGCAGTCACAATGTCAAGCTCTGTCTCATCCACAGGCAAAGCTTTAATCTAAAAAATAATCATCAAATTCTCCTCTGTTCTGTTTTACAACACATGTAGGTACTGCTGTCCATGATCTTACCTGGAGTATCAAAAACGTTGACCAGAAATGATTTCCCTTTGGTGTCTGGCAAAACGAGAGATACTGGAACACTCTTTATACTCAAACCTCGCTGAAAGGAAACAGTAATAAATCTTATGGTATTTGTATGCTTTGTTTTATTCAGTTGACACAAAAATTACGCAAAATACACTTTTACTGCAGACAATATCTTACCTCTTGCTCAGTAAACAATGTATCTGTATAGCGAAGCTGTAAAGACAAAAAAGTTAAATATAACTTCATTCAGCAAACATTACTGTCAACAGGTGGTGAGATAACTTCTTACATGTACTGTACATATTAAATAAATAATAAATACATGTAAATAAACAATAAATTATATACATAGCAATTTGTGGTGGCACATCCCATGGAGAGGCACTTTGTCTACAGTTTCCAGATCAAAATTTTGACCTGTTGGTTTTTGTGGAGGGAGGAAAACTGAAGAACCCAGAGAAAAAATGTCAGAGCAAGGCAAGAACCAACAACAAACTCAACCCACTTGTGACACCAGGTCCAGGATTCAAACCCAGGCCACATTAGTTGAGACAATCTCTCTCACCACTGTGCCCACACTGCTCCCTACAACATGTGGCAAGTTAACTTCTTACATTGTACTACAGTGTACATAAAATTTATTACTTATTTATACTTATTTTTAATAAGTAATGTAGCTCTGAGACTTACGTCAGTTCCTTCTTTTGCTTGGATGTCCTGGTGAGTTTGTTCAAAGAGGCAATCCACAAAAACAGACTACAAAGTCAAATCACAAAGAAAAACATTTTATTGTTGAAACTTTTATTCTTGAAACATTAAATGAAAGTACGTCAATTAACATAATTTTCAGCAACAAGTAATTGTAAAGTTACCTTCCCTGTGTGTAAATGCCCCGCCAAAGCAATATTTCTGATGAGAACTGGGTTGTCCATTAAATCTGCCAAATACCTACAACAAAACTGAATTTTAGATTCTCTGATGGACACCAGTAGCAGCTATAAATTATATGCAGTACATACTCAACATCATAAGTTGTCGTGGGAAGATCCTGCTCAGCATGAAAGAACTTCTTTTTTGCCACAGGTTTGATTATAGGTTCTGTGAAATGCAAGGCATGGAATACACACATTATTTACAATACCAAACACTTCTCAAAATACTAGCTGGTACGTTTAACATTAGGCATAGAAAGGTACAAAAAGTTGATAACTGATAATAATAATCAATCTTTATTTGTACTCACTCTTGCAAATTACAATTTCAACTGAATATTATTTTTCACAACAAATATGCCTAAACTTCAATGTACCAGTATAACTATTTTTTCATATATTCACATGTGACTAAGGCTAGGTTCATACTTGTCCAGACACTTGGTGCTCATTAAATGCTAATGCCTAGGCACCAGCCCAAAATAACATTGCATTCAGACACCAGGTATTCCAAGAACTCAAGCACCATTTAATGCCTGGGTACAAGGTGAAGAACATGTATCCAGGCATGTGCAATATGCCTGAATTCTGGAGTGAGTACTGAGGAAAATTTAGGTGTGTTCACATTAGTGCCTGGCAAGAATCTTGCATTGTACTCAGGCACCAAACTTGGGCACCAAGCTTGGACACCAAGTGTGAGCATACATGTACATGTAAAGTAACCTAAAGCAACTATAAAGCATTCTATGATTATCACTAATTTTGTAAATGGATTATAAACCTGTTAGAGGCTGTGTATCTTCCTCTTGTACAACAGTCTAAAAAATAGAACAATTACAATGAGATAATTACATAATGTATACATTTTTTTTTT